CTGTCATACATTATTTATATTTACATTTAAGCTCTTAAACTTATTTTTCATAGAACAGTGAATAAAGTAAAGCAGACAATTATCTCTTCTAGTTACGACCTTTGTACTCATTTGCTGCTTGTGGAGGATGTAAAAAGAAAGGTTTTATATATATACATTGTAAATAACAAAAAATAATAAATTACTATATCGATACCATGGAATTCCACTATAATTTATCGAGTGTAGTCACTAAGCTGTATTTGGGTCTAAAAAATATGAAATTTCGAGCTCACTAAAGACTTACCTCATCGTTTGAAATATTGTGTTAAAAGAATGAAATTAGCTCAATAACATGTCAAAATGGTTGAGAAAACCACTAGGGGAACATTCTGGGCTTTGATTGGGTATTCATGTCATATACAGAAGTAAGTGTATATAAGGGACCGTTTCCAAAAATGGAAAGAGGTGGGCAGGGGAGGCCCATTGTGTTTGATTCAGTAGAGGAGCGATATCTTAGCAAATTGAAAAGATAAGATGTTCTTATTTTACATTCTAGCTTGTCAACATTGGTAGTTTGAGTTCCTAATTCGTATGAAACTATAGATTTAGTATTTTGACATCACAATTTGAACCAGTGCTGCATTCAACATACCATATGACACACAAAAATCTATGCTTAGCTGTGTTTTTAATGTTTACTTTTAAATTAAGAAATTAACTAAGGTATAATATTAAAATTTGAATTATAATCAACAGTTTGACACCAAACTTATTGACATAGATTCATAAAATAATAGTTCCATAAAATTTTGATTGCAAGTCAACAAATGCGATGACATGGCCTTTGAGATTAACCCATCGAAAAAGGGTTAATGTGTATTTCCTTCTCCTTTTGGCCTGCAGGCATTGTTGGTCAGATCTGTTCACCAAACTTATCATCTCCTTTATCTGGATCATTCCTTCTTTCCCAAGCTTTCTGCGGCTCGTGAGGGTAACTCCTCCTTTTCACCTATTTCCCTTCCTTCTATTTCTCATCTCTACCCTCGTCCTGATCTGGATAGACATCTATGCTCGGTGCGTGCCCCTTTGTTGTTATATTGCCCACACAGCTTTCTTCAGGGGTTCCCATTCCCGTCTCTTTATCCCGTAGCAACTCTTTTTTTCCCTTTACCCTTACCAGTTGGGTTTGTTATTTAATCCAGTTGGCTTATTCCTTCATGTCCTCTTCCCAATGTGCTTTGTTCTATGTTACCTCCCATCAAATCCATCATCTTACCTTTACCTTTGCTTCCTGCCTTCATTGGCATTTGGAGGAGATTCTGCAGTTGGGCATGTGAACCACCCCTCAGATGTTCATCTCCCATTCCTTACATCATGTTCTGGTTTCTGCTTCCTCTGGGAACCCCTACCATCTGTGGCTATACTTCAGACTTCAGTGTGGCTATAACACTAGGTAAGTGTTTATTACTGCTTTCTTTTCTTTCAGGGGCCCCTCGCTTCAAATTTTGTCTCTTGGATCCCCCTCTGTGGTAAATGATGCCTGACCAGGTATTCTTTACATACACAAGCAAATCCACGCTGTACATCATATTGATTCACACACACGATCAATGGCTCTTTACACTAACCTTCGAGATGGGGTGTTTCACAAGATCACTAGATAATCAATAACCTCTTGATATTTGCTTCATAAATAGGCCCCTCCTGGACCATACCACTCATGGACGGCACGGGTAAAGCAAAAGGGGATAGCTGCCCACCCTTTCCATGGCTCGATTGAATAAATCAGTATGGTCTGCTTTTCAAAATCAACTACTGCACTTTCTTGGGTGTAGCCATTCCTCTGGACTCTCCAATGCACTGCCTTCCCCCCATTTCTTTCATTGGAGTATGGGAGTCCTTACATCTTGCCAATTTCAAGCTGCTGGGGTGGTTGACCAAGGAGGTATCCTGCAGGATGTGTTTCACAAAGATGGCTATAATCATTCAGTTCAGAGTAGGGCAGTGCTGTTCTGCCAGTGTAGAAGGCATAAAATCCTCTGGAATGAGTGAACCAATCAACTTAAGTCCTCACATATGTTTGGGGTTGTCCATCTTCCTCCCTCAATTCTTCCTTCTGTGTAGTGGGTCACGGGAGTTGATTGCATGTGATGGACTTCCCTCGAATACCAGATGACATAATCCTGGATCCCTGACTCAATACTAATCCTATGTTGTGTCCTGGATTCTGTGTTTTCGTCACATTCAAGATTTTGAGGTTTGAGGTGAAGCCGGTATGGTCCTCATCTTACTCTCACGCAGATGTCAGTACCCAGTGAGGAGATTTTGGATATAGTTGACTTACTGAGTATGGTCCGCCTCGCCCTATCCATTCTATACCATGGGACGCATCCTGTTTTACCCACATCTGTGGGATTCAGTTTCAATATATTTATCCAGTTGGGATCACTTTCTTAACTTATCCTCTCCCACTCGGATGTGCTCCCTTCCTTTTCAGTCATGTTTCTTCCTAACTCTTCATGGCGAGGAGATACATGTTTCTCTCATTTACAGAATTATCCTTTGTATGCTTTGGGGGGGGGGGTACGTCTGTTCTTCCCTCACACTGGTCCCTCCTCCTTTTCAAGGTGGAAAGAAAATAATTTTTCAAAACTCATTCAAGATTACACAATATTTTTATAATGTGTTCTACCATTGGACAGTTTCTTTTTTGGATTATTTGGTAAAGATAAGTTGAAGACCAGCTCATGTAAGGATAGTGAATTAATTAGTTATATAATGTCTGCTACAGTTATGTTTACTTTGATGCAAGATGTAGGCCTTAGCTCACAAACAAACTTTCCAACAAGACTTTGAAACTACTGTAGGTCTGATTCACTAATAAAGTTTAAAAAAGTTTTCTTGATTGATAACAAATTACAGAAGCACTTTATAAATCAACTAGCCAGCCTAAATATTTATCAGCTTTGATACTGTTTTGGATTAAAGAAAACAACAACATACTGTAATAGTGTTCATTTTTATTAAAGATGAAAATTGCATGTCTCTATCAGTATATATTATTTAACTTGGAGTTTAGAGTGTTAAATCAACCAATAGCATGGAGGGTTAGCTTTGTTTCATTGTGTTTTGTAACAATCTTGCATGATAACTGTTTGTTGTGTATTTTAAAGAATACCATCAGAACTCATAAAAATATTCATAATGGATTTGAAATTTGTGATAATCAAATGCTGTTTTTAACTGTCAGATTGGATGAGCATAACCATTAAAGTTTAATGACTGAACATAAGTTTCAACTCCATAAAATTCTGGTTCTTTTTAAGAGAGTGGGAAAAATAAAAGAAATGCTTGTATCCAGATAGTGGATAACTATCATCTGTACTCTTGAAGTGGCTACTCTGCATTTACTTATTGGTTTCTAATATAGTTAATATTTAAACTTTAATGACAAATCTTACAACTGTTAGGTGATCCTAATTACCATAACAAAGATTATTTTTTACTAAATGCATTTTAAATACATGCCATTTATTGGAATTGTTATCTTGCTTATGCTAAGTAGCTAGATAGGTAATGATGGCTGTATAACCTGTAGGTATTTATAATGTTGTTTATAAGAAGAAGCTAGGTAGCCAGAGATGGCTGTGTGGCCTGAATGTTTTTAAATTGTTATTTATAGAAGAAGCTAGGTAGCCAGAGATGGCTGTGTGGCCTGTACATTTTTAAAATGTTTTTTATAGAATAGAGCTAGGTAGCTAGAGATGGTTCTGTAGTCTGTAGGTTTTAAAACATTATTTATAGAAAGAAGCTAGGTAGCCAGAGATGGGTGTGTGGCCTGTAAGTTTTTAAAATGTTATTCATAGAAAGAAGCTAGATAGCCAGAGATGGCTGTGTGGCCTGTAAGTTTTTAAAATGTTGATTATAGGAAGAAGTTAGGTAGCCAGAGATGGCTGTGTGGCCTGTAAGTTTTTAAAATGTTGATTATAGGAAGAAGCTAGGTAGCCAGAGATGGCTGTGTGGCCTGTCATTTTTAAAATGTTGCTTATAGGAAGAAACTAGATAGCCAGAAATGGTTGTGTGACCTGTAAGTTTTTAAAACGTTATTTATAGAAAGAAGCTAGATAGCCAGAGATGGCTGTGTGACCTGTAAGTTTTTAAAATGTTGTTTATACGGTAAACTGAATATTAACTTTCTACTGTGAATGTGAACTGTTACATATAGGATTACAATACTAACAATAGTATGTTCGTAGGGAGTTAGTCTTTATATAATGATTTTTATAATAATGTTAGTATTATGAAACATTCATGAATCTCCTTTTCATATCACAGTATCATTACTCTTTCTATACTTTTGAATGTCTCAGACATTGCTGACTACCTAGCCACCTCCAAACACATATGAATTATGTCATATATCACTGGCTACCTAGCCACGTCTAGACACTTATGAATCATGTCATATATCACTGGCTACCTAGCTACGTCTGGACACACATGAATTATGTCATATATCACTGGCTACCTAGCCACGTCTAGACACTTATGAATAATGTGATATATCACTGGCTACCTAGCCACGTCCAAACACATATGAATAATGTGATATATCACTGGCTACCTAGCCACGTCTAGACACTTATGAATAATGTGATATATCACTGGCTACCTAGCCACATCCAAACACATATGAATAATGTGATATATCACTGGCTACCTAGCCACGTCCAAACACATATGAATCATGTCATATATCACTGGCTATCTAGCCACGTCTGAACACTTATAAATAATGTGATATATCACTGGCTATCTAGCCACATCTGGACACACATGAATTATGTCATATATCACTGGCTACCTAGCCACGTCTAGACACTTATGAATAATGTGATATATCACTGGCTACCTAGCCACGTCTAGACACTTATTCCTGATATTTATCATTAAGATAAAAGATGATAATCTCTCAGAACATTAATATGATGGAGCTTTCTTCTTTCTAATTTCTTTAGTCAGATATTCAGGATGTGAACCAGATATTTAAAGACCTAGCATCACTAGTTCATGAACAAGGGGATATTATTGGTATGTACTTGTACTTTACTTGGAAACTACTACATATTAATTGATAATGTTAATATTTTGGTGTTGAAGAAAATGGATGTCTTTTAGTGCTTACTTGTATTTTGTTTGTTAAATCAAACAGAAAATATAAGAGTTAGTGTTTAGTTGTATTGTCACACTTTAATGTTTCTTTGTGAGTGTTATTTCTCACAGTGAATGTTATAATACTTTAATGTTTCTGTATGAATGTTATTTCTGACAGTGAATCAATTATAATACTTTTTTCTATGTGTTTTGTAAATTAAGAAGATTTGAGAAGATCTTAGTTTAATGTTTTTATCAAATTAAAAACAAATTCTGTCTGTTCATTCTGGTACATGTGTAAGAAAATCAAAATGAACTGAAAAAACATTCTCTGTGAACATTCAACTTGTGTAATAGAATGAATGCTAAGTTACTTTTCATATCTACAGACAGCATTGAAGCAAATGTGGAGAGTTCAGCCATACAGGTTGAACAAGGAACACAGCAACTAGCTAAGGCACGACAACATCAGGTAAAACACTTTATCAATCTGTTGTCAGGATAAACATTCAGTACATGTTTTCTATTATTGTGATTAGGTATAGAAAAACTCTTTGAGATAAAACTTTATTAGTTTCTTGATTCAGTCACTTTGTTTACCATTTTAATCAGTTATCCATCTCACTAGGGGCATTCTTTTCTGTGCATGCCATGAGGTTTTACTGAGTTACATTCAAGAGTTAAATGTATTATTTTCTTATCATGATAAATGAATAAACTTGGCTTAAAAACGTAACTAACAATCCAAGTTTTAAGTAATTTTATAAGGCAATATTAAAAAAGAAATCATCAATTTCCCCTAGTATGAGAATTGTGATATTTGCTCTTTAGTTATCCCCTCTTCTCTAATTTATTTACCACCCTTCCGAGAAGTACGAAATTTAATGTAAATTACTCATTATAATATTGTTATTGCTCAAGCAAAGCATAATTTTTATAACCTTCATTCTTATTTTGTTACAGAGCCATCTAATAGAAAATCAGACCCATCTTACCATGCCCACTTGTCACATTCTTTCTTTCAGAAATTGCCATTACTTCTATCTGATGTTTAATACTATATTATTTATAACCAATAGAAATCCAAAGTTTTAATCCATCAAATGGTGTATTATATTAAATTGTTTGCTGGACAGAAAACTGTATTTTTCTTCCAGTTCAAATTTTATTTTCAAGGGAAACTCATCGATGAGCTTAGCTGAATTTTAACGGCTCTTGTTGCATAGTTAGAAAGACAGAGAAATTATGATAGTTATGAGATATCGTCTGTTCTTTTGTGTGTTATTATTCTGTGTTCTTTGGTGCATTATTTAATTAAATAGAAAAATTACTTAGTGAAATAGTACCATTAGTATAAAAAAAGTAGAGTTAAGTTCATCGAAAGTTGACAGCAAAAAACAAAGAAGACCCAATTAAGTACTACATTTATTCTTTATTTATTATTATATAAGTAACTAAAATGTAAAAATAAAAAACTTTTTAGGTTAAACTAGATAAAATATAGAATAATAATAATAATCCTGAACCACAGTTGTAGTTGATAATAGGGAATGCCCATTTCTTCTTCTTCATTATTATTTAATATTGTTTCACCAGCCTACATCAAGCATGGCTGTGAGTATTGTAATAAGATCTGGGGAATATTACTAAATGCATCAGCCCGGCATGGCCAAGTGGTTAGGACGTTTGACTCGCAATCTGAGGGTCGCAGGTTCGAATTCACGTCCCACCAAACATGCTTGCCCTTTCAGCCGTGGGGGCGTCATAATGTGACGGTCAATTCCACTATTCGTTGGTAAAAGAGTAGCCCAAGAGTTGGCGGTGGGTGGCGATGACTAGCTGCCTTCCCTCTAGTCTTACACTGCTAAATTAGGGATGGCTAGCGCAGATAGCCCTTGTGTAGCTTTGCGTGAAATTCAAAACAAACAGGCAAACTAAAT